TGTGCAACTATTACCACAATCCACTGATAGAACATTTCATCACCACAAATGTTACAAGTTTTTATGCAGTCAGTCCCCACTTCTACCCCCAAGCCTAGGCAGCCACTTAACCTGCTTTCCATCTGTATAAATTTATATTTCTGGACATCTCATATAAATGGGATCATGTAGTATATAATCTTGCAGTTCATCCATATTATGGCTTGCATGAATATTTCATTCCTTTTTACTGCTAAATAGTATTCCATGATATGAAATGAATATTCCACATTTTGTGTGTATGTGTGTGTGCTGGCTTCTAGGTGCTCAGCTGTGTTCTAGACTTAGAGATGTTCCAAGATGTATCTATTATTTGGGACTCACAGATAACAAAGTTAAGAAACCCTAATAGGGTAAGGGATAAGAGTGTACATGAGTTTTGGCTCCTGCAGAACCTTTACAAAGTGGGAGAAGAGACAATTTCTTAATAGCAAAGATGCTAAGCAGTAAAACAGTCCACTACATCAGATGTTTGACCCAAATAAATGAATTGCTTCAATAATATTTGTCATTGTTTTTTGCCTAATTTGCTAAGAAACTGAGAACCTGAGTAGTTCAGCACCCCGAATATCAACAAATGTTCACTACAGAGAATAGTTTACATCATTCTTTCTACATTCATGGTACCCTTGGCATTTACAGATTAAAATTTTAAATTTTAGCTGTTTGTGAGTTATGCACAGTAGTTTGTCATTAGGCCCAGATGTTTATTTGAGTTGCACTGCTGGTGTGTGGGACCAGCTTCCTTAGCCTAGCAGCTAGATTTCAGGGCTACTGTATTCTTTTCTTGTTTTACCACATAGGAACTAATTCTTATAGATCTGGAGGCATCACACACAGTTTTCAATTATACCTTGTCATATTTTAGGTGCCCTATGCCTCAAGTCTTCTTGCTGATGTCAGTGACCTAGTCTGCTATATTCCTATCTTTAGTCCTTCTATTTTGCTTGCTTTTTATTTTATTTATTTATTTTTTTTGAGATTTCATTTATTTGAGAGAGAGATAGCAAGAGAGCACAAGGGGGGTGAGAGGGGTTGGGAAGAGGGAGAAGCAGGCTCTCTGCTGAGCAGGGAGCCCAATACAGGGCTCCATCCCAGGACCCTGGGATCGTGACCTGAGCCAAAGGCAGACACTTAACTGACTGAGCCACCCAGGTGCCCCTTTCACTTGCTTTTTAAAAACATTACTTTGCTAACTCATTTTGGTTGTTCTTCATTGTAAACTCCTAAATATCTACCTTATTATAAGGCAATATCTTTACATTTTCTTCCTTTTTAACTGGAAGAATTATCCTATGTTGTCCAGTACATTTTATGAAAATGTTCATTGAGCTACCTTTCTGCTATTTATAATTCTAATTCAGCTCTTAATTATTTGCATGATAGAGGAGGGCAGTGACATAAATCATAATCTTTGAAAACATGATTCGGCTTAAGAATGAATTAACAGAATCTTTCTCTTTTTGAACATCATCTTTACCATTGTAATTATGCTTTGTTTAGACTAAAACTAGTTTATTGTAAAAATAATTTACATTGTTTAAAAACACACGAGGGGCGCCTGGGTGGCTCAGTTGGTTAAGCGACTGCCTTCGGCTCAGGTCATGATCCCGGGGTCCTGGGATCGAGTCCCACGTCGGGCTCCTGGCTCAGCGGGAGGCCTGCTTCTCCCTCTCCCACTCCCCCTGCTTGTGTTCCTGCTCTCACTGTCTCTGTCTCTGTCAAATAAATAAATAAAATCTTTAAAAAAAAAAAAAACACACACGAAAGGATAGGAAAGGAAGTATGGATGTTAGGCTAAGGAATAATCACAGTGGGGTTAAGAGGAAACACAATTTAATACACCAAGCTAGTTTCTACATGTATTAGTTTATCTTATGCCTGAAATGTTGTGATTGTTTGAATATATGAGAAAAGGGGATTGGACAAAAATTATTGAAAAGATGAAGGACTGTCATTTCTTATTTCAGCCTTTAATAACCTCTTTAAATGAACTCTTAGTATCGTCTAGAAAGGCTACTTAACAATCTTAACGTTTTATGAAATCCAAAATTTTTTTCCCACAAGGATTTAAAATAGCTATTACATTTGGAGTCTGAGCCCTGTGAAAGATGACTGTATGTCTTTCCAAGATTTTTAAAAGTTGGCACTGTCTTACATGATTCCTGGGCACAGTTTGTTTATTGGATTCTTTTTTCCATGGGTATTCAAAATAAATAGGTACTTGTTATTGAATTGGGAAAAAATAGCATAACTATAAAACCGATTACAGCTTGTACTGGAAAGAATCTTGCCATCTGATTGGAAATATTTTTCCAGTTTGTTGACCTATTTGAAATTCCTAAGAGCTATTTTTCTTTCCAGCTTTCAAACATCAAATTCATTCTGAGGTCAGTTTGGTTGATTCTAGGGACTAAAGAAATGAGTAACTTTGGTTTTGTGTCTCCTTAAAACTTGTCTTAAGGACATATTTATTGAATATTTTAAATGCCACTATGATTACTACTTTGTAATGACTATTTGCACTGGATTAAAAATAATCTTATGAGAAATCATAATTGATGCTTCTCAATCCTGCCCCCACTGTTGCTCTTATTAACCATGTAGTATATGATAGCACTTACCTAGAGTAGTGTTTTTAAAAAGCGTGATCCATGGATACATATGGTATGAAGGTCCTGTTTCTCCTATAATCTTTTAGCATTGTTTATAATATTGTATCTTTGTATTGTTTAGACGTATGAATTCTGATGCATTTCAGATGTCATGTTGGTTTAACCAAAATACCTTATTCCAGTGTTTTTTCAAAACTCATACTGTTTTCTTCATTGTTACTTTTTCTGCAATGGCAAGAAAAATCAGTTCCTTAAGTTATCTTGCTCCACTAAAGAAGCCCTGGGGAGACAAAAAATATGAGCTTTAAGAGTAATAAAAGGCTTAGTGTGTTTTAATCTTTCACAAATAATTATTTAGGAAATGTTTGCTTAAATATCTTAAGATCTTTCTGCATCTATTTCTAATTACTATTAATGGAACCGTATTTCCGTATGCCAGGAACCTTGGTGGAAACTGAGCTGGCATAGGGAGGAAAAGGGGAAAATCTGCCAGTTTTGTCACTGAGCCCTCTTTCTAATGTGCTTCTCCTAACTTTGTTGCTATTGCTTCAGCCTTTCACTGTCTATTGTAAGCAATATGGGAGCTGCCTCCTGACGGGTCTTCCCAACCAGTCCCTCTGCCTTCCAGTTCATCCTTCTTGTTACTTAGAATCCTATAGCTGATTGCTGCCACCATACATATTCAAGATCAATTCCATACTCTTTAAGAGTTGTTATGTAAGGCCTTTTATCTAGCCCTTTCTTATTTCTTTTGATACCCAAACATAAGGAACTACTTTCAGTTTCCTGAATATAATTCATTTCACTCCCCCTTAACTTGTACTGTTCCCTTTGCCCAAAAAGCCTTCCTGGCTCTCATATGCTTTGCTAATTGCTATTTCTCTTTGATTTACCTTTAGTATTGCTTAAATATTAATTCTTCTGTGAAGTCTTTTGACATCCTCTTTCTCCTTGTAGCCATCTTCCCTTGTGTTCTTTATCAGAATATAAGCAAACTTCTGTTTTATATTTAGCTTAGAAACTACCTTGTATTTGATTTAAGCTTGTAAATTCTTGTAGGTGTAATAGCCATCTGTGGTATTTCTGTAACTTAGAGTGAACAAAGACCCGGAGGATCAAGGGTGAGAAATGGAGTGAATATACAAATGGAGAACAACCTTACAACCCAGAAAGCTGAACAATAACTTTAACAATCGACCCACAGTGGCCAGGACTTGATCAGTAACTGCCAGGTTCCCTAATTTTTATCCTTGCTTCCAACTTTGAACCAATCAGAGCAAGCCAAATATGTACCCCCCCAACCCCCCGATCAGCCACATAAGATGTCACACTCCTGCTTAGCTCACCTTCAGCTTGCCATGCCAACATCCTCCAATCAGGGCACACTTGAAACCTTCCCTTTTTTCCACTATGAAGCTTTCCCATTCTTTAGCCTGCACTTGAGTCTGCCTGAACACAAGTGATGGTGGCTTACTCCCTTGCCTCTAGCAAGCTGAAATAATAGCCTTTGCTTCTCTCATTTATTTCTATACAAGGGGCAAAGCTATTTATTTTATATTTATTTACATCCAAAGAGATTAATGGTAAGTGTAGTTTATAAACCGTATTTCTTGTGCTAGCTGTATTTTGTGATTTTTCTGCATGTTTTATAAACATAGAGGTTTATATTTTAAAAAGGTGAAGACAGGTTTTTGTTAAAAGGATTCTCTTGAATGGAAAGATAAACAGAAGAAAAATCTGTCACTTAATAGTAACAAACAAAATCCTAGTCAAATTTTAATCTTACTTGAGATTTTTGTCTCAGATATAGTTTTTAAAATTCTTTATTTGGTTAATTAAACCATAACTTTTTTAAAAAAAAAATCAATACATGGAAGAGATTTAAACATTAAATGCATTTGGGTTTTATTTATTATGTTGAGCATACTTTTATTCTTGTTTTTAAAATATTAGGTATGCATGTTTAATTTCATTAAGTAATTTTTGCATCATTTACTGCTTTTTATTTAACCTATTAGTATAATATACTATATAAATAGATTTCTTACTATTGAACCATGTATATGTTCCTAAAATAACCATGCTTGGTTTGGTGAATTATTTTCAATATGTCCACTCATTTTATAAAGCCCCTTTCATTTTTGTAAAGATTCTAAAAATGACCAAAACCTATACCCTGATTTTTTTTTTTTGCACACCCTCATTTATATTTCTACAATTGAATGACTAATAAGGCTACTTTAAATAATTTTGAACCTATGAAAAAGATAGCTTTTTATCTGTCTAGTGCTTTATTTTACTAAAGTTACTCTCAGTTTATTTATTGCTTGAATTTTCTCTTAACAGATATTCCCTTCGGAGAGGTAGCTCCTTCACATTTTTAACACCTGGCCCCCATTGGGACTTCACTTTGGTAAGTAGCTACCTGGGTATTTTATGTCAAGAGATTGACAGAATTAATTCCTAGGTTGTCTTTCAGTCTGGTGTACAACTCAGTTGTCTGTACTTCTCTGAATATCTTGAGGTACAGTGTTTCTGTCACCCTCTTTGGCAGCCTAATTTAATTCTTTTCTGCTAACAAGCTAAAAACAACTTTTACTTCAATTAAATATAAAACATTTTAAAAAGTATCAGATCTATTTATTTTTAACCTTATGCAGTCCTTTCTCTTATTCCTACCAGTTTTAAAATTAAGAGAATATATTATGAAACATGAAGTTGTTTTTATGTACATACTCTAACAACTTTTTCCTTGGCTGAAAAATATAAAAGTGATTGCAGATGATATGTATGTTGAATGAATTATTTTCTTATTAATCATCCTAGAATCCTAGTCTCATTATTTTTAGAATGAGGCTTTACAGAATGAGACTTTACAGAGGCATCTAACTGTGCAAAATGACACCAGTTGATTCTTTTTGTAATTAAAAACTCATTACCTTATAATACTCATATAAATAATGTATGTACAAATAGAACATGATTCTTATGTTTTCTTATTTGGAGGAAATAGCAAAAATCATTCTGTTTCTAGTTTGCCAAGCTTTACCTGATCGTGTGCTGATGGGTTCAGAGATACATATTTAATTCGCACTCTGTTCTTTTGTATTTAATTTATATTTCTACTGGGGACTTCTGTTTGAGATTTCTGTACTCTTATACAAGTTACTTATATTAATTGGTCAGTAAAGCATTCATAGCAAGAGTCTCCTGATTTTAATATAGTTCTCTATTCTCCTTGAGACTTTTTTCATCTTGTTTTTTTCCCTTAGTAGTTGACAAGCCTAAACTCAAACAGAAAAACTTTAGTAAAGAAGGGTCTCCAAACTTGATTTTGCGACCTATCAGCAAAAATATTTTGAACACGTACACCTGATATATTTATTTAGGATTTTTATGTATGTACCACCATTATTAACTAAAAATGCAAAGCACAGTACTCAACCTATGGTGAAGTTCATGATAGTGGATATAAGTTTATATTTCAAATAGCCATGACATTTTCACAGTGTGCAGTCAATTTCTGGGAACTGATTAGATCACCATTGTCTAACCTTATAATGTGGGTGATGATGAGTTCATCTGTGTATTAAATATTAGTAAAGCTTATTTTTAAGGATTAATAAATACATAAAACCAGAAGTTCTAACATTTTCCTCCTGCACTCCAGGGAAGATATCTTGCATGTCCTTTGGGATGGGTACATCCCACTTGGGAAAAACACTTTTGTAGAGTTCTCTCATTACAAAAGAAATAGCTCAGTTAATGTATTAAAACGTTTGGAATGTGATTAAGGAGTACTAAGAGGGAGATTTATAAACTTTCACATACATAGTTTAAGAAAAGAAAAGAACAAAAGTAAGCATCTAACTCAAGTAATTAGAGAAAGAAAAGTAGAATGAACCAAAGAAAATAGAAGGAAAAATGAGAATGGATAAAAATAAAGTCAGCACCCAGTCATGATAAAATTCTTGGCAAACGGGGGAATAGAACTTTCTTAGCCTGAGACCTGCCACAAACAACATGTTTTGTAATGATAATATGTTAGAAACATTCCCTTAAAATTTTGAAAAAAAGCCTGCTGTCAACATGTCTATCCAGCATTGTACTGGTGCTTCTAGACAGCACAGTAAGACAGGAAAACAAGTGGTATTCAAATTCAAAAGGAAGAGACAGTAGGATTTCATTACTTAGGGACAATATGACTATCTACATAGAATATCCCAGAGAATATTAATAGCAGCTATTAGAATAATAAGAGTTCAAGCAAGATTACTGGCTATAAAATTTATAAAAAGGAGTCAATAAAATGTGTATATATACTGGCAATAAACAAATATAATTTGTAAAGATGCTTTTACTGAAATAAAAATTTTTTAAACTATGAATAAATCTATGAAAAGATCTGTGAGATTTTTATGGGAAAAATTGGAAAGCATTAATAAAGAATATAGACACCAAAGTAAATGGAAAGATAGGCATGTAAGGAAAGGCTCAATAACCTAAAAATGTTAGTACTCCCCCTATTAATTTATAAATTCAGTGCAGTGCAGTTCTGATAGAAATCCCATTAGAATGTAAGAGATCTCATTCTACAATTCAGGAAGAAAAGTAGAAAGCCCAGAGCAGCAAAGGTATTGTACAAGTCAGGGAACGTATGACTTAACTGGATTAGCTGTTAAGGCTTACTCCACAGGTACAGTAATTATGGAACCACAATGTGGATGAAGGTCTAGGTAGATAGGCCAACGTCATAAGATCAAGAACCCAGAAACTGACATATGTATGAGAACTTACTGCATTGTAGACATTAGAAGGAAAGGTGCCTGCAACAATGGTGTTAGCAGTGCGGACAGTTAGATATGCCATCTTATACCATATACAAACAAATAAATTCTGGATGGATTGAATATGTAAATCAGAAAAGCAAAACTTTAAAATATTTGAAAATATAGTAGAATGTTTTAAAATCTGTTAAATGTCTTTATACATATGCAAATACGTGTACATGATTTTATATAAATGCATAAGTACAATCATGAATGAGCTTTTCCCTCAGTACACTTCTTTTTGTTTGGCAGTTTCCTCCTTCCTTCCTCTCTTCTCCCCTGTCAATCCTTCCATCCCCAACCTCCACTCTAACCCGTGTCAGCAATACCATACCTATCCTTCTGTGTTTTGCTCAGAAGTGTGTATTTACACACACACACACACACAGCCTTACAAATAAGATAAACACATGCAGGATCTTTGCTTTGTTTTTCAAAATTAGGATCATATTACTCATATTTTTCTAGATCTTCTGGATATGACCTTAGGATCAATAAAGATTTTTTGTCAACTCATTTTTAGTTTTTTTCCAATCCTGATTTATATTGTTCTTTCAAGTCTTCTATCATTTTTTTTAAATTTTTTTTAAGATTTTATTATTTATCTGAGAGAGAGAGGGATAGAGCACAAGCAGGGGGAGCAGCAGAGAGGGAGAAGCAGGCTCCCCGCTGAGCAGGGAGCCCGATGCGGGGCTCGATCCCAGGACCCCGGGATCATGACCTGAGCCGAAGGCAGACGCTTAACCGACTGAGCCACCCAGGCGCCCCTTCTATCATTTTCTTAATGTCTTTTAGCTAACTTTGGAATAGTATGTCATAGTTTTGCTCTTCTTCTTTGAGTATTTCGTTCTCAAGTGCTTTCATTCCCTGTAGGGATGTTATTCTTCCCCTTTTCCCATTTTTCTTAGAGTTATTTCGTGTAAGATTTGACTTGGAGAATTTTCTGTTCATTTTAATGTGAATTTAGTTTTTCTGAACTTTACAAAGAGGTTTGGTTCAGATAACTTTTCTAACTTCAGAGAGAGAAGCTCCCTCTCTACTTTTTATGGCGCCTTGCTTCTGTGATTTCCAGGCTCCATCTATTTTCCCCACTTCCATCTGGACTCTATCTTTCCTTTTCTCTGTTGTCCCTGTCCTGCTCCATTTTGATTCCACTACCACCAGTTTCTCCTTGGGGTGGAGTCAGGTCCTGGAAGGGCACCCTGGCTGGTCAGTTTTGAGAGTTCACAAGAGCTAGACTGTGTCACAGGTAATCTGAAAAGTTATTTTGAGGTGTGAGTGGGTGATGTGTTACTTAAGGATTCTTCTTCAATAGTGATGAAGGACAGAAATGAGATTGTACACAGTTTCGCCACTATAGGCACCAGCAGGACTGAGTGAGGATGATGAATGATAACTACAAGTGTGTTGTCTCCCAGCAGATAAATCCTGCTTCAGGCAACAAGTCTTAATTACTTTGGGCCATGAGAAAAGGGTATTTTTTTTCGAGTGAAGACCCTCCCCCCTCCATAGGATAAATTTGTTCGTTTTTAAAAAAAATTGTTGCCTTTATGTTTAAAACATATTTTACTTTTTCTCATAACAAGTAGTCAGTCCTTGACTTACATAAGAGTTCTGAAAAAACTTTATATAAGGTTTTTGAATAGGGTGGAACTTCGCAGCATGAGATGATTCAGGCTGGGGAGACTATTTAAACAGTATGCTAGAGATAATTTATGAGCATCCCTCAAAAATAATTTTTTTTTTCAAAAATAATTTTCTTATGAGTACAGCTCCACTTTTTTAAAGTGATTTCTCTGGTTTTATGAGGTCTTTGTTTAATGAAGTAACATGCATTCCTTCTATATAAGAATGAAATCTTTTTTTTCATATAGAAAAGAAAGCGGAGAGCAAAAGACGATGATGTCGTAAGCCTTAACAGCCTTGATCTGAAGGTAAGCCTTCCTGCTCTGTCAAAGCCTTTAAAAATATGCAGATAGTGTTTTATTTTTGTGCTATAAGGATAATGAATGCTAATTTTTAAAAAAATTATAAGTGCAAAACTGAATAATATGGGCTCTTACAGGTATCTTCCTTTTTTCTGTTGTACTTTTTGTTAAGAATGAGGTAAAAGCCTCCCTAAGAACAATGTTAGGCTTTAGCTAGTGATCTCACACTCAAATGCCTAAAGAGGCCAGGCGTACGGTGTATGCAAGGAGGAAGGAAGGGAGGGACTGTGGTGGAAAAGAGAAATGTGCCCTCCTGCAAGAGGCAGCTGCTATTGTGCTCTAGCCCAAGGCTCCTTGTAGCACTGTCAAAATCTGGATTTTTATGTGAAATCTCCCAGTCTTTATATGTTGGACCATGCAAACCAAACAGCTCGTCTGCAGGTCCGAAGTGGCCGTGCATTTCCAATGTGTGACATGTGACTAACTAAAATCCAGTGCACACTTAAGAAATAATTATGTATCCTTTTATGTAAAACTGTAGTTAAGTCCCCAAACCTGGTATCTATGGAATTACTTAGTCCATTTTTATCAGTTGGCAAACTTTACAGAACCATCTTGGTTTTAAGGAACCTTTTTAAAGATTGTTACATAAAAGTTACACACATTTTAAGCGGGATTTTAAAAATGTTTGACATCATCTGTAACGATGGCAAATTTTTATAGGTCTGCCCATCAACGTTTTACCAAATCCAGCAAGCCAGATTTGGGGAGATGGGGTTGGCATGTGTACATACATAATATGTTTATGGAAGAACTCTGTGTTTTAAGTGTTAGGCTTTTTGCAAAACAGTTTTAGTTAACATTTAAAAATCCTATATTCGAAGAAAGAAAAAAAAGGATGAAATGGCAACCCTGAGTATTTTTAGGTATGCTTCAAATCAGATCACACACAGAAATAGTATTTATAGTTTGCCACAATAAAATCCATGGTCAAATCTACTTAAGTATAATCCTCCTTTTGTTTATCCCAACTTCAGCACTTCCCATCATGCAATCAGATTCTTCTCATTTTATCTATCTACTTGCCTCCTCTCCTCTGGATTATTTTGAAGAAAATCCTTTTGTATCATGTTATCTATGTCATCAGATTGAGTGTTCACACTTCCCTTGATTTGTCTTACACCTTTTTTGTTTTGGTTTTGCTCATTTTGTCTGTTTGAATTGGAATTCATATAAGGTCCATATATTCTGATTCTCTCTTCAGTGTCTTTTAATCTGTAGGTTCCCTCTCTAGCTTTTTTTTTTTTTGGGATTTTTTGTTCTTGCATGTGTAGAGCCCTTCACATCCTGCATGTTCATGATTGCATCTCCATGGTATCATTTCTTCTGTTCCTCTCTTCCCTTTATTCCTAATAAACTGATAGATCTAGAGATTGTTTTGGTCTCTGTACTTCCCTCTGAAGGTACATCATGTCTTTTTGTGATGTTGTCCAAATTAATTGTCATTGCCTGGATTTATTTACTCATTGAGTACGGCAAAGTGGTGACATTGTGCCTTTATCAGTCATCTTTATTAACTAGAATACTTCTGTAAAAAGAAAACTCCCTTTGGGGTGCCTGGGTGGCTCAGTTGGCTAAGCATCTGCCTTTGGCTCGGGTCATGATTCCAAGGTGCTGAGATCGAGCCCCACATTGAGCTCCATGTTAGGCTCCCTGCTCAGTGGGGAGCCTGCTTCTCTCTCTTCACACACACACACAGCCCCACTCATGTACGCTTTCTTTCAAATAGTAAATAAAATCTTCAAAAAAAGAGAGAAAACTCCCCTCACCATCCTTTTATCAGTTTTCAAGTGATGACTTTTATTCATTAAAATTCTCTAAAAGTAATTAATGATTTTTTTAATATGATTATGAACTTACAGATATTAGCACATTTGTAGTGTTTTGATCCATTTCAGTTATTACTCTTACAATGCTCAAATTACCCTATCTTTGGCTTCAGGATGGCTCCAATGTCCTTATTTCCCCCAGTTTTCAGATATAATTGACATTTAACATAATGTAAATTTAAGGAATGCAATATATTGATTTCCTGTATCCTTTGACATGACCCTCACTTTATATCTAGAGACTAAGTGGCCCCCTTTCTTCCAGGATGACAAGTTCTTCCAGGCCCACTTGTACATTTTGTTGTTGTTTCTGCTCCATACCTGGAAACAGTCATTTCTAAAAACCCTGGTTTCCTTAGGAAATGGTAGAGGCTTAAACCTGAACATTATGAACACTCCTTGCTGCTATATTGATTCTTGTTTCTGTGCCTTTTTCATGGACAAAGCTAGGAAATGTGTATCACTTTTTCAGATAAAATAAATTTTGAGTTTATACTGATATTTCAGATCTGAGGCTACAGTGTTTTTTATTCAATTGTGTTAATCTTACTATCTAGATCTCTCAGCCACACCAAAAATTTAGGTCTTGGGGACGCTGACATAATTTCTCACTTGATTTACTCACAGTTCAAAGACAACAGTCTACATTACTGCAAATTGCTACTGCATTACTGTAAATGAAACAATTACTAAAAACATTGTATGTTTTATTTTTCAGATTTTTTGTTTTTTACATATAAATTATATGTACAACTTACTGTGTTTTTAAATTATTGCACTAGTACTTTTTTTTAAAAGAGAGTGTGAGCAGGGAGGGGCAGAGGGAGAGGGAGCGAGAGAATCCTCAAGCAGACTCCCCATTGAGTGTGGAGCCCAATGTGGGGCTCAATCCCAGGACCCTGAGATCACGACCTGAGCCAAAACCAAGAGTTGGATGCTTAACTAACTGCACCACCAAGGTGCCCCTGAACTAGTACTTTTCTATGTGTAACTATGACAACAACTCACTTGTTCCTTTTTATTTTCAATTTTTAAGAACTACTTTTTAAACTTAATTTTTCTTATAATCACGTAACAAAATTGTATGGAATTTCAAAGTAGTTCCACAGGATTCTTGTTTCTATTCCTAGATCTTCTACCCTACTTCTTTCTTCTGTACAAAATCCCTTTATTCCTTTTTTAAATTTTATGGTTTATTCTTTCACTTTTTAAAAATAGAAGCAATTGCATGTATATTTGTGTATCCCACTCTCTTGGCTAAACAGTAGCATGCTGTCTTTCATTATATGCTCTATTTTATTCTTTCCTTATTTGTTTTACTTGTGTGTTTTTGCTTTGGTATGTCTTCCTATGTTTAGGAAGGTTCATGTTTTTGTTCTCTTGGATATTTTTGCCTTCAGTTTCCTCTCTTTTTAGCTATTGTAAATTGGTTCATTCCTATAAGCATTATTATAATCAACTAACACCTCTTCTCCCTCCTCTCCTTCTCCCCTGTTAATAAACTAAAGTAATATCTCTTTATTCTAAATCAATGCATTTAAAGTATTTAGTACTTACTTTGTTTTTCATGTACAGTCATCATTTTCCATGTTTTGAACATAGTTTTACTGTATCTACAAGATCAGAGCATATAGCCATTGCAGATTGTGCTGTGTACCCTGGTAACCATTTTTAGGCTTTAGTTCTACAGGTAAATGTATATTGAATGCTGAGCACCAGTTCTAGGTTTTTGGTTCCCTGAAACTCATTTTCTAGCAAAGGGGTCAGCAAACTGTAGCCCACAAACCATATCTGACCTGCTCGTTGACTTACATATATTGTTAATGGCTGCTTTTAAAAACACTACAGTGTCAGAGATTGAGTAGCAGTGACAGGGACCATCTGACGTACAGAGAGTGAAGTATTTACTATTTGGCCTTTTACAGAGAGTTTGTCGACCCCTGCTGTAGACTTGAGTAAATTCAGATGACTTGTTCTCATAGTTTTTGTCATTTTTTTTCCATTCCATTGTTTTCTGTCCCCTCCCTGATTTTTACTTAGATTTTTTTAATCTTTTATATTTATCACTTTCTCTCAAAATATTTTCTATCTCTTTATATCTTCTTAAAATTATTTTATTATCTTTTTTTTAGTAGGCTCCATGCCCAGTATGGAGCCCAGTGCAGGGCTTGAACTCATGACCCTGAGATCAAGACCTGAGCTGAGATCAAGAGTCAGATGAGCCACCCGGGCTTGTCTTCAAACTTGTCTTCCCTTTTGTCTTTTTTTTTCCTCTTAATGCAGTAGACAGATTTTTTTTATTCTGAAATAATTTTTCTTCTATTTTTAATTCTTTTTTTAGTTCTATCACCTCATTGCAAATCTTCCTTTCTCCACCCATCTAATTTCTGATTTTTAAGTTCTTTCATAGCTTCTATAATTTTCTTAATTTATTTTATGCTATAGAGACATTATTCTACTTCACATTTTCTGTATTCTTAAAATAGTTTTAAAGGGATTCATTATTTAAAGGGATTCTTTGCTCATTTTTTAAGTCCAGTAAATTTTCCTGTCTTAAAGGTGAGAGGAGTGAGCCCTGGTAGCCTGTCTTCACCTTCATAGCTCCAGAGCTCCCTCTTCTGTTGTCTTCACAAAGTGGTTTTTAACAATACAGCCTCACGCTTTCTGAGATCTTTTTTGCTCCCTCGTTTTTATCTGAGCTTTTTCTTGTGTTAGCTTCAAGAGTTTAAATGGCCCAGACTGCTAACCTCATTGCATGGAAGGGTCCTTGCTCTCTGCTCAAGAATTTGATCATGGGGTCCTTCCCAGGTTAGACTACTGTCCTCAGACTAGCATGCTAGTGAGGGGCTCCCTGTTCTCAAGGCCATCAGAGGAGCCCAGTTGCCTTCCCTTTGGTTCCATGTGTGGGTCTCATAGTGGTCCTGTTTGTAACTATCTGACAAACAAAAGGTTTTGGGGGGAAACACTGTCTCTTCATTTTGTTGTAGATTGAGTTTTCTGTTTTGTTGTGTTGCTGTAGCTGCCTTTTTTTTTTTTTTTTTAACTTTAAAGAGTGAAAACCTGTCAAAGATTTAATTAATATATTAATGAGTGAGCCAGCAGAAACGCTGAAGGATT